TTCTAAACGGCACTGTAGATTTGTAGAACCTCTTCTATAGAAGAGGTTAGAACTGGCAGGAACCCACCCCTGATCTTATCTATAAATAGTATTATTGCTCATAAGATTAAATAATGCAATACTTACTGTGGTGTACCTGACTTGAGATTTGAGTTCTATTGTTCTGAGCCCATTCAATTAAATAGGATTAGTCTCATGGTAATAAATCTGTTTTGGGTCACACATTAATGTGCATTTGTTGTGAAGATTTATGTATTTCCTTTTGATAAACTGTACGTAAATAGGCTTATAGTAGTTTTTCCAATACAATCCACAAAATTATCCATCTCCTTAATAAGATCTATTTTTTTCAGCTCCACCACTCCCTTTTGGCCAAAACAATTCCCTTTTACCATCTTTACCACTGATGTTTGCCCAACACAACTCCCCTCTTCCAGGTCTATTGCTGTCATTTGTCTAATGGAAATGACTGTGTAGTTGCTGTGGTAGGTGTAACATGCATAGCAGTCAGGAGTTCTGTTGTAATTTCAAATGGTTGCTAAGTGACTGGTTGTAAGTCAAGGACTACCTCTATTTGGTTTTTTTTTCCTTATTAAAAATGAATTTTCAATTGATCATTAACTGTATTACAAAAGGCTGTATTCTAAAATGTATATTTGAAAAGCCTTATCACATATCTTTGCAAGAAATATGCTGGGTTTCCTTTAAGTTATCTTCTTTAATTTCTACTCTTTTCCCTATTATTATTTTAAAATCTTTACTAAGCAAGATGAGTTGCTGAATAGTCACCAGAGAAGATTGGTTAGTTAATATAAAAATATAGGTAGCCATTTTGCTGTTGATGTTTATAGTGTGATTTCCTACACATCATTATTGAACTACAGGAGAAAAATACTTGCATTTGAAATTCTCTTTTGGTTCATTGCTTCCTCATGGAATACCTGTAAATGGCTGTGACGCATTGTATGTACTCCTTGTCGTTTATTTCAGTGTTTGTGCATTGAAAGTTCCATATAATATCAATATAGTCTTCCAGAAAAATATACACAATGCATCGAATATGTGTAAAATATTTACTCATTAGAAATTTCCTTGATGGTCTTTTACCTTGCTTTAAAAATAAATTTGAGACATTGGAACAGTGTTAAAAGTTGCGTAAGGTAAAGGTTCTCCTCACGCATATGTGCTAGTCATTCCCGACTCTAGGGGGCAGTGTTCATCTCCATTTCAAAGCCAAAGAGCCGAAGATGTCTCTGTGGTCATGTGGCCGGCATGACTAAACACCGAAGGTGCACTGAACGTTATTACCTTCCCACCAAAGGTGGTTCCTATTTTTTCTACTTGCATTTTTACATGCTTTCGAACTGCTCACAAAAGTTGTTGTATGTCTATATTATTTCCTCCTCTCCCTCTTTGTCTTCTTTAAACTAAACACTCAGTCTGTTTAAAATAAAAACTTAGCAAAGTTTAGAAACTGAGTTCATCACTTTAAAAAAAATGTACTGGATGGGTGCTTAAAATAGGTTTGTATATTCCTCATGCACTTTAAGGTGGCAACTTACTTCTTTTNTATCCGGTCACATGGGCGGCAAGCCACTCCCATCCGGTCACATGGGTGGCAAGCCACTCCTACAAAGGAGGCCACACCCACAGAGTAGGTTCGAATAATTTTTGAAACCCACCACTGGGTATATTATTCTTTTCATAGTTTATGTGATTGATTGTGCTATAGTGGTAGATTGGGTTGTTAGTATGGTAGTGGGACACTTGTGGGTGGTTTTTTAATGAACATGTTTATGGTTTTCTGCATTTCCTCTGCTGATGAGGATATCCAGGAGGGGTAGCATGTTGTTTTCTTCTTTCCTTGTGGATTTTATTGATTATTGATGTTGATTATTTCAAGTGTCTAATTGTTCCATTTTTATCATGACAAATTTACCAGTACCAGACATGAGGTAAATGTAAACACTCATTTAAATTATCTCTTTCTTGGTAGTAAGTTTCTTGCTCTTGTTAATATTCAGAGATTATTACTTCACAATCTTAGGGAAGATTGGCAAAATTAAAATTAGGTGTTTTAATTTATTTCACCCAATTATTGCTAAAATAATTAAATCAACCTTTTAAAATTGGCTTTTTATGGATGAAGTAGTTAAATATATAGTCACAGATAATCTGCCTTCTAAAAAAAATTGATTCCGGTATGTCCATATATTTTTAACTATTCATCAGCTTTTGGCTCAACTTGATTATTAGGAAGCGAAATATGAAAAAGTACCTGGGAATTAATTGCTACAGGATTTGAGTGTGCAAATTAATTCATGAAATTCTTCAGGAAAATACTTATTGTAAGCTACTGGTGAAAACAATTGAAATATTGGAAGCAGTCATATGATATCTACTCATAACAATACACAGTTGATAATTAATGGTTGTTTTGTGTTGAAGCATTTCTTACATCTGTAATATAAATATTTTTTTTAAAATAGGATGATGTTATTCTCCATATGATTATATGTTATGCTACTCTGTCTTCTACTACTTTAAGAAAAGTGTTTCCATAGTCTAGTTTTACAGAAATATTTATATCTAATATATCTTATTCAGTGGTGAGTTTCAAAAACTTTTAGAACCTCTTCTGTAGGTGTGACCTGCTTTGTGGGAGTGGCTTGCAAGCCATGTGACTGGATGGGAGTGGCTTGCCGGCCATGTGACCGGGTGGGAGTGGCTTGCCGGTCATGTGACTGGGTGGGAGTGGCTTGCCAGCCATGTGACCAAGTGGGAGTGGCTTGCCAG